TCTGACATAGCAATCTGAATCCCAGCGGTAGTGCTCCTATTGATTTGGTAGGCTCATTGTGGACTGATAGAGATTTCTAATTCGCTCGTTATCCACGTCAGTGAATTTGCTTAAAATGGCACGATCCCGAAACATGAATTTTAAAAGAGCTCTCTGTATTCTATTAGTATCATATCCTCGATATTCGTCGATTTTAATTAGTCGTCTGGCCCACCAAGTGAATGTGTGGATTATACTGCAAATCCTAGCATACCGGAGCATCTGGGAAATAATTATTCCATCATATATGGTGGGGTCAACATCATTATCCGCGTGGCTGGCTTGATTGACGGGGAAAAGATAATCCACAGTTTTATTGTGAACATCAAACGTGCAACGTCCGTCAACACAGCAGATTGCCAGGTCAAGAAAACAGGCGTACTGTTAGTGTTAGCGTAGTTCCATAAATCTCTTTGGCTTGGTCAGTGAAATCCGGACAGTTGATAGCCAATGCGAAAACGAAATACATAACATTATTATTAAAAGAAAAGGAATGTAATATTAAAGATAAAATAAGTCAATAGGTTAAGGGTCATATATAAGTGAGATGCGAGAATCTTAATAATTAGTAAAATGAAGTATAACATATGCATGTTATCTAATATAGATAAAGTTGTTACAGAAAAATTTTATAATAATGTAAATAGTGGGCATAGAATGTAGTAAAATTGCACATATACAAATATGAAGTACAAAATAAATTATGGATATAAAATATAGCAATGTAGAAAAACACATCTAAGATTTAAAGTAGAATGTAAAATATAGGGGTAGATAAAGGGAAAAGGGGAAGAAGTGGAGATACAGGTTGCTCCCACTGGCGTGTGTTGATCTGTGGAAGTCGATGGGAAGTAGACAGAAATGAAGGGGAAATGTGATAGATCAGTAACATATATATATATATATATATAAGTTCCAAATATCTTCCCATGCTTTTCCTTCATGTTTGAAGAACCGTACCTGCGCATTTGGTACTCTTTTACTGGTTACTGTGACCGATGTTGTATTGCCCGGTGAACAGCCTTCGCGTGGTCCTGTCGTTTACATGCTTTCTAATGGTGTTTCAGGAAAGAATATCAGACGCATTGCATTTCTTTTGCTGTTTTGCTTGGTCCTCCGGCTTAACTAAGACTCTTTGGTTGCTCCACAGTGACCATCACTTGCCGATAAAGATACGCTGGGCTAATTGCAGGAGTCTCAAAGCCAGAACTGCAAAGGCCTGCACTATGAAATTTTACGTGGCCCTCTTTTTCGTGCCTAAATTTATGGTCAAATAAGAAAATGACAAAAACTATTTAGTCGATCTCAAAAACTTCTGTTTTTTATCAGCTTACGGAATTAGCCCGGATCACAGCACGTGCCAGCAGCAACCACCCAGTGGCCAAGTTGCTTTTGGCTCCTATCCGGAGAACAACAGTCTACAATGCTATTGATGACTCAGTTTAACATACGCCAGTATCATTATACTATCGGAACGAATGAACGAATCGTAGAGAGATTGGTTGTCTCAGTGATGGAACAAAAACATCGATAAAAATAGATCTGTCTTTCACGTACATCCTGGCCATCATTTTCTCGTGGGTCAATGGAGAGCCAGTGATCGACGTTGCGGCACCCAAACCATTGGCTATCCTCTGAGACTTGATTTTTTTCGTTTTTGTGAATCGCTTTTATTTTCGATTTTTTGTATATTCGGATTGAACTGCTGCATTCTGTACTTTATTTCTCATGTTTTGCTTATGCTGTGCATTTTGATAAATGCAATTTTAAAATTTCATAAATTTCACGTATGCGATTGGAAAAGAAAGCACTTTGGGGAGACGGAGAGCTTATCACAAAATAACTTTTCGGTGCATACCGTTTTTACGTTTACTTTTACACTTCGAGCAAGAGCTTTTTTTATCGTCACGTTTCTTCTTGCAGCAGGTACAGCTGGCAGCGCTGTTTTGCCCTATTTTGAGTTTACCGCACCCAAGCAATTCCATATAGCCATTAAAATGTATGTATTAAAGGGGAGAAACATAATAGGAAGAGTGGTCGCAAAGGCCAGAGGCGGTCTTCCCCCAATGGTTGAAATAAAGGACAGCCTAAATTACCCTTCCCCCTCTCTTTTTCAATCTGAAAGTATAAGGTTAAAAACACATTTAGAAATAAAATATTTAAGAAGTTAAGAAAAAACGAGAGAAGTGAAACAAAAAATAAATTATTATTCGTGACCTATTCCCCGACCCCAAGCCCTGATGTTTCTTCCAAATGTTCTCTTTCCCAGTGTTAAAGTTTTCTCAAAATCGTATTAATTAACCGTCGATAACGGTTACTAATATCTAGCATAGATTCGCTGCGATAATAGTGTAGGACGAGCAAAAGATGGCGCGCAGTAGAAGCAAAGAACAATCCAGTATCGCGCAGCAAATTGACCTGTGATCCGTCTCCCCCTCCCTCGCCTCTCTTTGTGATGAGTACTTAGGCCTGCAAATTTGCTGTAAAGCATTCAGTGTTCAGAATCGTCGTTCGGTGTCTCGTGCCTCGTGTTTGGCTTCCAGCGGTCCATTGCGGCAGTGTGTTGCTGCATTCCAGTTATCAGCACTCTTCGTCTGCGGCGGCTGTCGCTGCAATTGTCCGACTTGATCCGTCGATCCAACAACTCAATTGTAAACTTTATTGGTGTTGATAGATTTCGTTCGTTTACTCCAGTCTCTCCCCTAAGCGCCATAGCGCATCAGCGTTCATCCAAGTCTCGTCCGAAGCTCGTCGTAACGGCATCGTAACGCTGTCGTCGTCGTCGTAACAATAGCGCTAGTGAAAACTGTACCCAATGAAAGCAATCCCGCTTGCCTCGTCTTGTTTCCCCTATGTTGTCTAGCTTCGTCTCCCCGGGAGTCGTTTTATATCAGGTCGAATTTGGCCGTTCATCAATTGCTTATCTCTTAGCGCCTTTGAATTAAGTCATCCGTTGTATATCATCTGTTGGGTTTGTATTATTATCACATCTGTGAGACTTTTTATAAAATTCGGAGGCACAACGTGCTTCCACATTTGGTTCCCGTAGATCTTCCGCCTCACACACAAGCACACACACATAGATGCGTATGCACATATATATACATATATACACATATACATATACGTGTACACACACATATATATGCATATGTATACGTATGTGTATACATGTACATATATATACATATGTATATATACACGTGCATATTCATATATATGCACATGCATATACATATATATATACATATATATACAGATACATGTATATACATATGTATACGCATACATATATATGCATATACATGTATATATATATATGTATATATATATTAAAGGTTAGAAAAGAAAATATCAGGAGAAAAAGGAAAATAGGAAAAAGAGGAAAGGATATTAAAATAAATAAGGGGTATAAAGAAATATTTGTCATAGGTAAGAAATGTTTCGGCCCATTAAGTCGTATACATTTCTTACCGTTACCACAATTGGACCTCGTCAGTACGATGACTGTGGTAACACTGTAATTTAGTAAGGCATATAAATTAGTTAAGATAAAAAGATGTAAAGCAGAAGAAATCAAAATAATAGTACGAAAAAGGAAAATATGTGGGGAAAAGGGAGGTATAGAATACGTAAGAAAAAGAGAAGTAAAAAGAAATCACGGAGGTAGCTGCAGTCACGGATGACCTGTATAAGCAAATCCTGGTGAGTCGGGTACAAGAGAATGCAAAAGTAGATAAAATAGAGCACAATGAAAACACGAGACTCTTTGTAACACGCTACCGTATCCACTCACACACATATACGTATAAGTATATACAAGGTAGAATTGTATAAGAATAGTAAAAAAGAACAATAATAGTAATAAATGGCCAACGCACGGGCTGCCCGTGCGAAAATGCGTTTTTTGCAGAGTTCCCCGCAGGTTTTTGTTGCTACCGGCGTCGGTTTTTTCTGCAGATGTTTCTAGCTGAAAGAATTTCAGACTGGCCGCCGGAACTGGTAGAAACATATCCCCTCAAAATTCCAGTCTTCTAGCTCCTCACGTTATCGAGTCAGTAACTTACCCGGAAGGAACAAAAATTCCAGTCTTCTAGCTCCTCACGTTATCGAGTCAGTAACTTACCCGGAAGGAACTTTTCACGATCCAGTCTTCTAGCTCCTCACGTTATCGAGTCAGTAACTTGCCCGGAAGGAACTTTTCACGGGCCTATACGGTCTTCTAGCTCCTCACGTTATCGAGTCAGTAACTTACTCGGAAGGAACTTTTCACGGGCCTGTTTTCACGGGCCTGCACATAGGTGCCACGCTTACCCGGGGGCTGGGTTTGAGCCCATTAA